ATTTATATCCAGTGTTCTGTTCTTGTCGTTACAAAAAGGACAAAGCTAATGGAACATAATATGCAGCTTATATGTGGTCATCAAACCAAGGGAGTAACTTGAGGCTCATTGGAGATGTGAAGAGTCCAGTTTGTCCATTTGTTTGTCCATTAAGCACTATGTACCATTGCTGGTGGAGGGTCCATCCACCTACTTGTTTCCATGGAGATGTTCAAAATGGTCTATTCATATTAAAAGTGCTAATAAAAAATATTTATGACTTTTGACACAATGTTGGCTGACAATTTAGAACAACCAACCTTAATGGTCCCATTTGTAACTTCTCTACTTGTCTCCATGGAGATATTATTGCTTTGCCAGGAATATTCTGCAGTATGGCCTTAAGCGTATGCCTGTCAGGATAAATACTAAATCGAGTTATTGTTCAATACATGATAGATGGAACAATACTTTTTTTTTGAGTCAGTATTTATCATGGATACTTTTTTTGTGCGTTATGGGAACATTTGGGTTATTTTTCTATAATATGGTAAAATACAAGGTTGAATTATTATTATTATTCATATATTTTTTTTTTTTATTGCCACAAATCAGTTCATATCAACAGTGTCCTGAGACTGGGCCCTCACACAATTTATATATTTACTTCTTCTTTCTAGAAAAAAAAAAAATAGATAAAATAAATAAATAAATAATAAGGCATGTTAGAGAATAAATGTCTTATTTGAAAAAGTCAATAACTGGACCCCACTTCTTTTCAAAAGTTGGCACCTTTAGCTGTAGCTGAGCCGTGAACAGTTCCACTGTATAAACTTGTCTGATTTTTGATATCCGTGATCAGTGATTGGTGTTTGGTGTCCCTGAAGATGCAACAGAAAACACTGATCATGAGAGAAACCATCAGGAAATGTATCTACCAAAAAGATCTTTGGGTCCAACAAGAGGTCTACAGCCAACATATTTTGTAGAACATCTTTAAAATCAATTCAGAAACATCGTATATTGGGGCAGTCCCAAAATATGTGAATTTGGTCACCCACAAGTCCACAATTCCTCCATCATTTGTCACTAAAACTACATTTCAAAATAAAAGTTTTCAGCTGGGTCTTAATTTTGACCTTCCAGTCAAACTCCTTCCAAATTTGACCTCCCACACCTCAATGACAACCAGAACAAACACTCTCCAAGATATAAGGTTGAATTTTGACTCACTGTAGATACAAACTACTATTGCATTCTGTTATTTATTTATTGCAGCTCTTATTTTTTAACAATATTGTACATTTAGAGTCATTTTTGGGAGATAATTCTGCTTTATGGCTTGGTTTCAGTTTTATCATTTATTATCTATATTTACATCAGCAATATATCACACTTCAAAATGTGTTATCATGACAAGCCTAAGTTTATCGATCTCCATGAAATAACTAACTAACTACTAAAAGCACTAAAACGCATTCATAGATAATGGACTTAAAAAGCATTTTGCAATCAACAGCCTAATACATTAAGCAGACATCCATAGAAGTCGAGTTAAGTGGGTAAACCCAACTTCATACTGAGCTGAGTCTAAAAAGTATATCCATATGTCTGAAGATTTACTGAGCCCTGACCTGTGTGAGTGACAGCTAACTGCAGCTCATGGGAAACAGAACCATAAATCAGAAGAACCCTTGTGAAACATCTTCATGAGGAAACTACAAGTCCAGCTGCTTCCACTGCAGTCCTACAGCAGGTGAAGTCAGCATTCCAGCTCCAGTCTGCTGTTCCCAGATATACATGGAACATAATTATGAAGAAAATTTAAGAAAATTTATTGATTCTGCAAAGCTGATGATGCGAATTCTATCTAATGCATCTTAAAGATTAAAGGTGAACTCTTTAACTTTTCTGATAATGCACCTTTAAATTTAGGCATTACCTCATTAATTAATGCATATTTAATTTTTTTTTCACTCTGATCCACCTTATGATGTCATGTGGTAATATACAGGGTTCACACACTTTTTCAGTGACAAAATTTCAAAACTTTTCCATGACTTTTTCATGACCTAAAGTGAATTTTCCATCACTTAACAGCACCCTACATGTGTGGAATTTAGCACACTTTAAGGGCTAAATATTAAATGTTAACCCTTTCCTCTCACCTTGTGGTTTGGTATTGTAGTTTTTTAACATTCAAAATTCTGTCAGTGCATTTATTGTCATCTCTTTTAAACAAAAGGTGCATACATTCGGAAATAATCATAATAGCCTAATGATAACAGAACACTGTTGCGTGAAGGAGATACTAAAAGACTTTTCCAAAATTTTCATTGAATTTAATAAATTTCATGACTTTTCCAGGCATGGAAAATGACATTTTCAATTTCCATGACTTTTCCAGGATTTCCATGACCGTGGGAACCTTGAATACAGGAAGTGCTCCACTGTGTTTTTTAACTCCATACACTTTCAATTAAAGCATTTGGATCACTTCAGCTCTAGAATTGACTAGAATTGGAAACTCTACTGACAAAAGGTAAAAGGTAGTGGTTAACTTGAATTGAATGAGATTTGGAGATGCAAACAGACTAATAATAAAACATGTGTGAATGAAACAAAACATAACTCCAGACATGTTTTGATGAGGTAGCACCATAATAACATGGCTTAGAGTTCACAAGAGTAAATTTTGTGCATTATAAGGTCTTTAAATGATGGTATATGGAAAAATTCAAGACTTAAATAGATGTCTTAAACTAACAACATAACTAAGGTATAGCAACAAGTAGAATATAATAGCATAACATAAACCACACCTTCAAGTCACCCTCAGCTAACTGGACTGGACACACGGCCTTTGAGAGAGAGAAGCATCTGGGAGGGCCGGCACCGGGATTCTTTACAATAGCATGTTGTTTGCATTAGTAATGGCAACATCTCCTTTGTTGTATGAAGCAAAATACACCCATAGCTTCCAGTGCTCAAACAACAAAGGCACGGGATCTTGGTATTGAACCTGCTAAAGCCTGTAGTCTCATATCTAGATGTACATGTCCGGAAATGCATATGATTAAAGCTTTGAAATGTACAGAGTGGAAAAAAGTGCAGTGCACAAAGGCTTTCAGTTCAAATTCTAATGGTTTGCCTGGTAAAACAAAAATTGACAATAATCTATCTTGATTTTCTTGATAGAAGGCATAATTCCCATACAATCTCATTCCCAATCTCTTTCTCTTCAAAGTATTAAATATTGTAGCCAAAGTTTGTCTACAGAATAGTAATAATTTAAAGGTACACAATGTAAACTTCCCATGAGCAAGCTTGCCTCTCCACAGATCAGACCTGTAACTTGGCCTGGTAATGCCATTTGTTTGTCTACATGGAGAGCTACAGATAACTATGCCATACTTGGTGATATTCCAGGCAAAGCATCTGCATGAACACACCAAGTAGCAGAAGTATCCACCAGAAAAGTTACATACAGTACTATTAAATACGTACATTAATCAAAGTGAAAACATAATTCTTCAGTAATTACCACAAAATCAAAACAAAGCTATATGTTTATTGATTTGAGCTATTTTGTGATGTGACAAAGTTTTAAGACTATGTTGCAAATATAAGATAACAACATAATCTCTTAAATATAAATTACAACTACCTGAGTCAATCCCTATGCTGAATACAGTTAACACAGAAGCAAGCTGATCCAACATCTCCTTGTGTAACGACTCTGCCAGAGAAGACAGGATAGAGTCGTCCCCAGAGATAAGGAAAGGAAAACATTTTACCAAAAGCATCCGAGCCCTCCCTGAGAAAAGCTGAGAAGCAGACAAACAATGAAAGATCCACATGTACAATGCCTCCACAATCAGCCACCTCCATGTGTGAAAACCAAACAGGCCCATGTCAAAACACACTCCCAGGAAAGAGACAGAGCTACCACTAACAAACAATAGCATGTCCCTGTGAAAAGTCTTGTTTAGAAAGCTTTGGCCTGGCTAGATGCTCCTTCTGAAACAGTGCATGCAAAGGCCTATGTGCCAAATGTCTTCTCCAGACGTAGGTAGTACTCAGTGACATTTACTCATTTACACTTTAATCAGTTAAATATAAATATTATCAATATTTATATCAATTACAACTACAAATTCAAACACTGGATCTAACAGGCAAAGGTAAAATGGAAAGGCAGACTTACATTCACTTAGATTTCCAACGTTTTCATTCTCATTTTTTTTTTTTTTTTTTTAGGAAAAGTTTTGATTCCACTTCCCACTCTGAGTAAGTCCATAGTGACAAAAGCTTTATGTTGACAATATTATGATTTTTTTCTCCCTCGTTCTTGGAAGGCTATCATTAGCAGGGGATACTTACATCGACTTAATTGTTTTGTTTGATTTAAGTGTTTTGAGCATTGCATTACCACTAAAACTACAACCATTGGATCTAACAGGCAAAAGTAAAGAGAGAAAGCAGACTTACATTGATTTAGATTCCCAACATTTTCATTCTCAAATTTCCCCATATTTTTACACCCCTACAAATTGCCAATAATGTCGCACCATAATTTAAATTAAAACATATAGAAACAAAACATTGGTCTCAAGTCTTTCCAGAAACATATTGAAGCTATATAGCCCGTGCATCTTACCAAACTTTTATATGCCTACCATATGATGTCAACGCAGCCCGTAGCCCTAATTACCATATAGTTTTACAGAGTGCATACTTAGCCACAACACTCTCGTGACTTCAGCCTTCAAAGCAGAGTTTCCCCCGGAGAGAGCATTTTAACAACCCAAAGACCCCCACTGGGAAACTTCGCCCAGCCACAACAGCAAGGCTACTCTACTTTTGAACAATGAATGCCCAAACGCAGATCTTTACAAAGAATATACATTCAGTTCATTCCTTTGGGGCAATTGTTGTCTAAACCAGTGCACTAAAGTCAATCAAATTTAATGCAAGGCAGATTGATATAATTTGCAAAATGACTTGTAATGCAAACTCACCATACTGGCATTGTGCTCCTTTGAACCCATCTGGACATTGACAGATCTGGTCCCCACTGTCTGTGCAGCGTCCTCCATTGAAGCATGTATGGGAGTCACATTCTCCTGCAAAAAAAAGAAAAAAGTACAAGTTAAATGGTAGCAGTAGTCGTAGCAGCAGTAGTAACAGTAGCAGTAGTGGTAGCATAGCTCATAGTCAACACGTGTGACTGAATAAAAGTAATCAATAATAATAATTATAAGCTTGTTTTTGTTTACTCTTACTGTTAAAAGCGCATTGTGTAACTTTTCCTAGTGGAGGGCCTGTCAAATGCTTTTCTTCAAGGAGATGTTATTGCTTTGTCTGGAATGTTTCACAGTATGGCTTTAAAACTTTTTGTCTTCAGGGAGACCAAACCAGACCAAGTTACACGCTGACAGTAGAGTGCTTGTTTTTCTAGGTATTTTTTGAGCAATAAAAGCACCTGTTATTGTATAAAGGTATGGTAGAACTGTTATAGTGTTGTACTACGGAACATTCCAGACAGAACAATGACTTACCCATAGAAACAACAAGGTGATGGACCCCCAACCAATGTGAAACATAACACAGTGCAGCTTTAATACTCATCAAAACTGTTACTGGCAGGCATTACTGGTGGAGTCTATAGTTTAGATACAGATTTGCTGAATGCATGGCTCATTTTATGTAACATTACTTACTGTGCAGGCAACCCATTTCATCACCCTTCCGGTTCCAGCCAGGGCAACACTTATATACTGTGTGGGCATTCATATTGTACACCTGCCTATATCCTGTGTAGTATATCGTCCTGAAAAAGACATGTTTAAGTCAAAATTTTAAAGCATAATCAATAATTTTGCATAAAAGTACCAATAGAATATTGATCTCACCTCCTTTCGTATCCCACACACCACTGATGTCCAGTGCACCCCTGCTTCCACACTTTGACCAACCGGGTATAAGCCTGAACACAAGGCTGCTGGGTGCCCACCATAGACACCTCCTGGTCGGCACATACATTTGGCCTGCACAAACACATTTATCGCAGATAATAACAATGTATTGGTGAATTTCACTTCAAAACATTGTGTTGCAGTAGCATGATTTGGCAGGGGGTTCAGCTCATGTACGGGAATCTGGTATTGGGGTGACATTTTTTTTTTCAGTTAGAGGGCAAATACTGAACCCATTGTGCCACTGGCAGTCCTTAGTCATGGTATTGATTTTTGTAAGACAGACTACTGAGAACCTTTTGGCAGCTTTTGCAATTTATATTTCCATGCCATGACTTCACACATCAATTATAATTTAGAAAAAATAATGGAGCTAAAAGGAAACAATTGTACAGCCTTTGCCCTTTAATTTAATTGGAAATGATTTAGCATGCAGTATAGATTCATTATGGTTGGGGCAGGCCTTGGCTTATGTTTTAGTGTTATAACATGGCATTTTCAATTGCACAGCATTTGGGGTCTGCATCCTGTTTGTTGTCAGCGCAGGTATCCTTCTTTACAAGCATCTGGACTCAATACAGTGAACCCTGGAGTAAATTAGAGCAAGTACTCTCTGTGGAAATGAGTAAAGTGAATTCTATTACCGTGGAAAATGCACTGAAAATGTAAAACCATTGTCTGAATATGATTGTAATTTAATGTTAATTCCAAAAGGGAACTGCTAAATGGATGCATGAGATCTGAAAGAACGACGCCTAGTGGACAATGTTAAAATCGCTAAAGTTAATGAGAAATTGGCAGATCTTAGGAAACATTCAAAATGAATGCAGTGATTTTCACATGTTAGACAACTTAGCATAGCACATTCAAATTGTATCATGAATAGCCGCGAATAAATAAAAGAGCAAAATAAAACTGGTTTACTTACATGCCAGGCTGCAGCTCCAGAGATGACACGACGTGCAAAGTGCCTAAAGTCATCACACACAAAATCGAAAAGTGTGGGATCATATTTTAACAAGATAAGGATACAGCAAGTTGCAGTTCGTCAGTGTCCGTCAAAAAACAGCATTGTGTAAATTAGGTCCCCATTCATCACTTGAAAGTAGACAGTCAACGCGCAGTGATATATCCTGTGAGGAGACGTGGTGCGTAAAAGCTCTGGCCGGGAAACTGCATCGCTCCAAACTTTGAATGGCTTGGAGTTTTACGCACCACCCACCCACAGTTACCCAGGGCCAGCTCAAAGCCCCCCACGGCCACGTCCAGTGTGTGCAAGCTACTGGTACAAGCAACGCAAGCAAATTTAGAATCATATAGGCTATGCCTTCTACCAAGATCATGAATTTTAATTAAAAAAAATAAAAATAAAAAAATCTCTACATGTCAAAAAATAAGATTAAAATATAGAAAGACATTTATATGCTGGAAAAAGATATCCAACCATGAAAGTAATTATAATTTTGGAACACTGTAGTATTTTTACGCATATTGTATAACGTATATTTTAAGTGGATCATTGTCAGATATTTTCTTATAATTATTATTTTGTTTATTTTATTTTATTTTATTTTATTTATTATTATTATTATTATTTTTTTTTAATTAACTGAACGCGTCAAATTACGTCATGTTACGTCACTTCCGTATACGGTTTCCCTCTTCCTGTTTAGAGTTCAGAGAAAGAAAGCAAAAAGGGCAGCATCGGCATCAGAATATGTTTAGCTCTTTGGCAGCTCTTTGACGGCTCTATCTTCATAATTTATTACCCCGTTATATCTTAATTATTCTTGGGTCGCCTTACCTTCCCGTTACCGTTTAATTCAAAGATAATCTCTTCCCTGAGCAGCCACAGCATCCCAAACGGTAAGATTCGCATCTAGATAAACGCGCAGTTTTGTGGTTTATAAAAGGTTAAAATGGCGTATCAAATGTTTGCGTTGACTTTTATCAAAACATGTAACCTGCAGTATCTTCCGTACTGGTTTCACTTTTCTTTTAGGAATGCTGTTAAAACCAAAATGATCAAAACAAGTAGCCTAATGTGTGAAATTGTAATGAATTGTTTGCGTTGACTTTTATCAAAACATGTAATCTGCAGTATCTTCCGTACTGGTTTCACTTTTGTTTTAGGAATGCTGTTAAAACCAAAATGATCAAAACAAGTAGCCTAATGTGTGGAATTGTAATGAATTTAGTGGTGAGAGTTGAGACAAGCTGTTGTTGCTGTTGTTGTTGATGAGTCTTGTTCATTTTTTTTTGTGGTGTTTTTTGAAGTCACAAGACCCTATCCTCATCCTATGACCAAATGATCACAAGATTTTTACATTCACAAACATTGCCTTGAGTAGAAGTAAAATCAGTAGTCTAGTTTACAAACATGAATGTTGAGCTAGTATGTCTGAAAAACACTTCAAGTTTATTTAATCAGCATTTCATGTAATTATTGTTAATTTTGTCATTACTCTCTTCAGCCCAAATGAACGGAGCAGCATTCCCTTCCCCCACGACAGAGATGGCGGAGATAAATCGTATTCAGTATGACCTGGACTACACTGAAGGAATCAGCCAAAGGATGCGTGTCCCAGAGATGCTCAAAGTGGCTCCTCAAGCCCATGATGACCCCATTACCCTGGGGCCTCAGGATGTCCACCCCAGTGTCATCATGCAGGTCCCAGATAGGATTGTGGTCACTGGTAGGCAAGAAGTCATACTTTTATTGCACATAACTTACGTAACTGTGATATGCTCACTCATCTAGAGATTATTATTGTGGACTTAGGACATTGCTCTTGTTTTTGTCTCTTCAAAAAATAATAAGATTAATTCATTTTAGAATTTTTGTACCTTACTGGAATTTCAAAGTACAATTCACATGTATGTGTTTAATTATCCAGGAGACAGCGGTAAGAAAACATTTCCTGGCACCAGAGACCTGGACCTCATCCAGTCTACACCATTTGACACCCTGTCACTAAAAACTCCACCCAGAGTACTCACCCTGAGTGACAGACCCCTAGACTTCCTCGAGGATGAACAGCGGGCAGCACCAGACACTGACGACACAGTATGTAATAATACAAGGGTACACATGCATTCATGGAATAAGCGTGATAAACTGCATTATTCTTTTAGATGCGTCCTCAAGCAAGAATGAGACGAGAGCGTTCAGCGAGTGAAAACATCTCCATTCGCCCAGGTGGACTAACACACAATGACTCTGCGTAAGTATTATTAAGCACAAGTGCTCTTTTATACTCATTCACACATTGGTGTTCTGTAAACCTGTTTTGTGTCTCATCATTGTGACTGGAGAGGATTTCAAATACAGCCTGTCATGACTAATATTGAAAGCAATAAATTAACCAAATAACTCATTTGCATTGGTGTTGTTTAGAAACATTTTATTACTCTAATTTGAATGTTAATTATCCTCAAAGCAGAGGGCAATTTGTTTCCTTATTCCTCTCCCTCTTTTTCTCCTCTTCTTTTTTCACTTTTTTGGCTTCCTCTGGTTGTTCTTAACCATGGCTTCTAAGCAGTCCAGCCTCCTCTTCCTCAGCTACTACTGACCCTTCTAACCCTCCTCTAACCATGGCTGATGAAGAGCACAACATGTACAGCGCTAGTGGTGTTCTTTCTTTCGTCCAATCCACTACTCGCCGGGCCTACCAGCAGGTCCTGGAGGTCCTGGATGAGAGCCCACACAGGTGATTTTCCAAATCACAACATTTATACAGAGCTCAAACACAGGCTGGTTGTTTTTTAGTATACGATTAATTATTTATGAGACAGCTGTGTTTTAGAGCCAACTTTGAGTCATCAGAAATTAAGTCTTACAGTGTAGGACTATATTAGCGCTAAGCATTTTCCAGTGTCCTGTCTTCACTTCTCCCCACTCTGTATTTCCCTTCCTCTCACCTCTTCAGCCAACCACCTTTACTGCGAGGGGGTGCAGCTTCAGGCTCCAACCCCCTGCATGACTCCAGGTAACTTCCCCGGACTTAATTCTACCCCTGATCCTGTCTTACATTTCATTCTTGTCTCAGTCCAATTCTCAGTAGTATTGCTTTTGTTGAACATGAAATTTTAACCCCTGTTGCTTTGCTTTTTCTCAGGCTTGCATTGTCCACTTACGAAGCTTCTTTTGACACCGGTGCTGATGACTTGACTATGGTGGATGCAGCAACACTACGCAGACAGGTCAGTTATTGCTCAAAAATAACTATTGAATCTTAATTAATGAAAAAACTACTGACGAATCACAAAAGACAGAAAGTCTCAACCTTCATCATCATAAGGGGATTCTAATAAAATGATAAAATAATAAAGAATGATGCCCAGACCTGCATTTTTTTTTTTAACTTCAGTTCAATCAGCTGAGCATTTAAGAATAATTGATTCGCTAAATAAAATTCATGCTACAATGCAAAAACACTACATTCTTGGTGGAGAAAATTGTACTTTTACAAACTGAACAAAACGCAAATTCTGGAGTTCATTTTAATTGAAAATTGCTGCATGTTTGGATATCAATCTCATAAATGGACCATACTAGTGTTGTTTAGTCCAATCTCATACCATACCAACTTTATTTATAAAGCACTTTAAAAACTTTACTGCTGGCCAAAGTACTCTACACACACATCAAATAGACAAGGACAATTGCAGTACAACTACAAAAAAAACAGAAAAGAATAAGATACTATACTACTTTGTTTGTACTTTAATATGCATTCTAATCAAAAACTAAGTCTAAGTAAACACATTTATTATTTACAGCTCATCAAGTTGAACCGGAGACTTCAGCTGTTAGAAGAGGAGAACAAGGAGCGCGTGAAGAGAGAGATGATTCTGTACTCCATCACAGTTGCTTTCTGGCTCGTCAATACCTGGGTGTGGCTACGGCGCTAATGCCCTTTGTGAGCAGACCGTATCACACCAAACATCCAAATTTATTTAAAATGTACAGTTTTATTTTTTTACTCCCTTTTGTTTATTCTGTTGATTCCTGTTTTATTTTTTATACATGTATACTATTCTTTGCTCTGGGCTAGGTGTGAATTGTAAATATTTGCGTTGAGACACTCCGCTTCAGGAAGAACTTAGTCACAAGAACAATAAAGCTATACAATATACCCTATTACAGTTATGGAGCTGCAATGTGATTATCTACAAATGTATTTATTGCAGGACTGTACGTTTAATGGGGGAAGTCATACCATTTAGTAAACTCAAACACAAACACTGTTGCCTTGTCTGTTAATTCATTTAGGTTTTTTTATCTTATGTTAAATTGTTGTATTTATAAATTAAAAATCAAGACTACAAGAAGTAACAATGTACCACACGTGTTGTAAGAAATATGTGTTAATTGATTAATTTAAAACAGCTTAAAACTGTGTGTTTTAGTAAGTTAATATAATTTCTAATGTTCAGTCCAGCTCTTCAATCAGACAGGGTGGTGCAGGGGCTTGCTTCATTGGTTCCATGTTCGGTTGCAACAATAGTGGTTCAGTCGTGTCTCCACATTTCAACTCCAGTAGTGGGAATGCTTTTTCCTTTGTTTCACCAAGCAATTCTTTTTTTCTCGGCTCAAAACTGGCAACTGGTCCAAACTTTTCATCCTCCGTATCGGACAGCATCACTATTTTTGGTTTGGACACAGGCTGTGAGGAGGAGAACGCTGCCATGAAATCTTCAGGCTCTGCTTCCTCCAAATCTGGCAGATCGTCTATGGACAGTCGCTGGTCCATGGTAAGGTGGATGGTTTCAAGATCATCAATGTTTTCCATTGTTGTGACTAAATGCCCTGGGAGGTTTAGTGACATAACTCCATCAGATTTACTGTGATGGTCCTTGGTCTGAAGAGGCTGCATCTTCACATTTTTCTCTTCATATCCTTCCCCTTCCATATTGATTGACTGACATTTGATGACATTTTCGGCTTTTAACTTTTCAGTCTCCAACTTTTCAGCGTCCAACTTTTCGTTTTGTGCCAAATTCTCAGTGTTCACTTCTTCTATCAGGCTATCCAACTGGCCTTTGCTATCGTTCTCCATCTGGTCTTCATTGATGTCCATTCTTACTTGTAATTTATCTTCAGCTTCAGATTGTTTCATGTTTTGCTGGTTGTCTTCCTGACTCTGTAAAAACTCTTCATGGGCGTCCAGGCTGCCTTGCACAAATGCCTCTAGTTTTTCATTTTTCTCCGAGCTCAGTGGCAGATTCTCATGTGGGTTCTCTTCTCCATCCACATCATCAAGAGTATCCCCTGAAAAAAATAAGATGTTGTTAAATTAATTGACCATTTATTTTACTCTAGTTACCCACAGTGTTTTGTTTCTCTCAACCAATCAGCTAGTCATAAATATTGTTTTTCTCCCCTACTTTATTCTCCCCTTATACAGTACACACTAGGTCAGCAAGATTAATCGCAATCACATCAGAACTGCAATTTAAAAAGTACTATAAATTCCTCCTCAAACAACAAAATATCCTGTTTTATTCTCTAAAAACTGCTAACCCTGTAGTTTAGATCTGTAAATGTGATTCCTGTATTAGTTTCATATTTCAGTCTACTGTCAGTTCATCTGGACGTGTTTATTTGAAAATGTGAATAGAAACAGAGTCCTATTAAAATTGCAATGCTTGTCAGAAAAAATCGCAGTTAGATATTTTTCCTAAATCGTTCAGCCCTAGTACACATCACAACCCTCCTTCTGAAACAGCTTCCATCAACCTATCAAGCTGTCATTTTAATACACCATACCTGCTTCTTGTTGCTCACGTTGGCGTTTTCTCTCCAAGGCCCTCTGCCGTATCAGCACCATTCCATCCAAGCTTTCCTGAATTTTCCTCCTTTCTCTGGACTCCCACTGCTCCCTCTCCATGCGCTCTGCTTCCAAGCCCCCTGACGCCCAAGCTTCAGCACAAGCCCTGTCCTTGGGAAATACAGGACGATCATCCAGAAAGGTGAGATGTTTCAAACGCACAATCAGGGTCTTCCTATAATTTGGGATTTTCCTCACAACCTCATTCCCTATAAGATTCAACACTCTGAGATCTGGCATTGTCTCCAGCACTGTGAGAATCTCAGGGTCGTTTAACAAGTTGTGAGACATGTCCAGCATGCTGATGGCAGGCATTCACTGAGGTGATCTATGTCCTTCACAGATCCAAGCTTGTTGTGGGCTATCTGAAGCGTGCTGAGGTCTGGAAGAGAGGAGATGTTCTCTATGGTCTGAATGAAGTTGTTGGAAACATTCAAAGTGCAGAGTTTCTTGAGGTGATCCAGGTTTTCCAATTTGTAGATGAGGTTCTGCTGAAGGAAGAGGCTGCGCAGGTCAGTCTGGGCATCCAAGTTCTCAATGCGTTGCAGACCATTGCTCTGCAACCAAAGACACTTCAGTCCAGTGTATTCCTCCAAGTTCTCAATGGTTGAAAAGCCCTTGAAGTGCAAGTATAATGTGTCATTCAGGTAAGGTGTGAAGTAAAGTTTGTGTTGCCTACAATGATCCTTGAGGAATTTTTTGGTGATCCGCGGTCCAGATTCTTCCTTCTTCTTTTCTTGGTTCATACTTTGCTGTTGTTTTGCTGTGTTATCTTCATTGTTCTTTTGTGCCGGGTTGGCTGTATTTTGATCCGAAATAGATTGTAATTTTAAATCCACTTCTTCTGTTTGAGGTTTTACTTCAATTTCGTCTCCCATTTTCTTAAATGTAAAAGGCTAAATAATATTCCTTGCGTCTTTTACACTTCCGTCAGCCGAGTTCGTTAGTTTCAGTTGTTACCTGTTGCTATGGTTACCCCAACTCGGACTAAACGCCTAGGGGTCTTGTTGCCAGTCGGACACTTTTAGCTGTTGCACACCGTTGTCAGTGAGCAACATGGCTACAGGATTTTTGCTCAATCGTGCTGCACAAACGTTGGGAGTCCACTGTCAAAATGTGTGCAGGAATGTCACTTTGACCCAAGTGAGAGGGAAAAAGCGATGGATGAAAGCTTATGTATATCTGATGGCGAAAAAGCTAAGGCTTGAAGGACCTCCGCCGCCTAAACCACGGTATGCTAACAGACTACTTAGCAGAGAGATCATTTCAAGGCCATTGCTGCATGAAACAGTGGTTTTATTGTCAGTCTACATATATTATTCTTATATTGTCATGGACTCATGTTATATTTCTGCTTTGACAAATGTGATCGAACTTAGTAAGGCTCCAAAGATAAAAGTTACGAGATCAGCATCATCACGAAAGGTTTGGGGTTGAGCTTTCCTATTTTTTTATTAAGAGGAAGACCATTGTCAAGGAATATTCTGTTTATTTGCATTATATTTTATACATAATAGTATTTTTATATGGTTACACGCATATAAACATTTAAAAATAGTAATAGAGTTACAGTAGAGAGATAATAATAGAGAGATAATGTGAATTGTGAAATAATGAACAGTAAATATCAGTGTATGTTGTGTTTACTTTTTTTTTTTTTTTGTCTTGCAGCTCACAGAAGCCTAACTGGGATTACCATGCAGAGGTCAATGCTTTCCAAACCCGCCTTCATGAGAATTTCTCATTGGAGCTTCTTAAAAGGGCTTTTGTCAATCCGTGTTATTTGAAGGCTGAGAGTGAAAGAAGACAAGGATTGGGTGTGGACACTGAGTTGACCGCTCTTACGCTAGAAGATAATATTGAGCTTAGTGCCAAAGGAGAAGCATTCGCCAAAGTGTTTGCCGCTGACTGGTGCAGGGCCAGCTTCCCCAGCCTGCCCAATGAAGGGGTGCAGAGTGTTGTAGATCATCTCACTGGTGTACGCACTGTCACCTACGTTGCCAGAAGACTAGGAATTGAAGACCTCACCATGAGTGCAGAATTTCCTATTCCAGATGAGGTCCTCTATTCTACTTTCATGGCAGTGATAGGAGCACTACAGGAGAGCAGCGGTGCAGAACGTGCAGGCTTTTTTCTCAGGGTAAGTATTTCAATGACAATCACTATTTATTTACACTTACAAACTTGTATGCTTTAAATATTGACTCATGTTACTGCTTTCCCTGTTTATAGGATTTCCTAGTTACTCAGATGATTGGAAGGGACTTGTTTGATTTATGGACTGTTGTGAATCCTATGGGCCTTCTGACAGAGGAGCTAACAAAAAGAAATATTCCTCTTCCTGAGCCCCGTCTGATTAGGTCTGCAGGAGCCAGCACAGTCCTTCCTCTGTACTTTGTTGGCTTGTACAGGTATGTGTCTCCCTTTTTGAGACATGCACATTTTCATGTGTATGACAAAATATTATTGTGATCATAATGCACTTTTTTATTTCTATTCATCGATTCAGTGAGAAGAAGCTTTTGGCTCAGGGTCCTGGAGAGACGTTAGCTGCAGCTGAAGAGGAGGCCGCTCGAGTGGCTCTGAGGAAGATATACGGCTTCAGTGAAAACCGGAAACCTATTAACTTCTCTCCTCAAAAAGAGCAGCAGACAACAGTTCAGGCAATCAGTAGCAATTAAGATTTTATTTTCTATAACAGTTTTTGTCTGACTTCTTGGTATATTTAATCCATACCTCCCATGCACTGTGTAAATACTTTAAGGATTTTCTGATGTAAATAGAAAATAAAAATGTCATGGTAATCATTTGGACTTTACTATTTACTATTTTTCCTAAAATGTCTGACTAAAATGACTCAATTCATGCTGAATTTGTTTCTGAACACTTTGGAGCACAGACAAATGGCTGTGCTCTGCTGCCTGATCTACTCTAAGTGGGAACAGGCTCTAAAGTCAGAGGGTAAATATAAGAATAAGTATAACTGGTGTCCCTGAGGATGATCTGATAGACAGCAGATTGAGCAGTTGTTGGGTCTTGACAATTCCTATGTATGAAGCATATCTCCCCAAAAATTAGGCTTTAGGACTCGTAATTAAGCAAAAGTCCAGTCCATTTTCTGTGGATTTTTTGGTTATTATTTTATTTTGGTTTTGTAGTTCAAACTGGTCCTAACTGATTCTTCTCAGTGCTTTATTTGACAGTTTTACAAGTCATTGAGATTGAGAGCTCCCTTTTATTAGATAATTTACACGCAGAAATAAATTAAGAAAAAGTACATAGGCCCTCGGAATTTAAAGAGGTTCAATTTTGAAAATGACACTGACACCACCTTATCCATGTCCTAATTGACTGTCATTTAATATGGAAATTCACTTGCTGCACAGTATTTTAAAGTAATGCAGTACTATCAATTAACCACACAGTGGCACTGTTTTCTTTGAAACCATACAGTCTATGTTAAAAATTGATAACGCTTGACAGCAGCCAAAGAGATTTCGATGACTAGAGTCAAGATAGTTGTAGATGGATATTAATTCTTCAAACATTAAGGCGCCATTAAATGCAGTTGTTTGGCTGAATTTCATAATTTGTAAATAGCATGTGGTCTTGTAAACACAAATGGCAACACAAACACACATTACTAAAGTGCCTTTTATAATGTTCAGTTAGGGTAGGTTTGCAATTTTGTTTTTGATATTTGATTTTGATATTTGATATTATCTAATTAATCATGTAACCCAGTCCGGTATCAATAAAGCACACATAACGGGATTAAAACGAATGCGGAAGTGTGTGGTCCGCACCATCTCGCCCCCTGCGCTCCTCGGCAGAGCCTCTGTGCTCAAACTCCTTGTTCGAGAAGACGCGAGGCCGCCCGAGGCCGCCCTCACCACAGCTCCAGCCTCTCTGCACAGCCGGGCGGCAGGCGTGAAAAAGCACAAGTCCCTCTTTCCTCTGAAACCTGGTCCTACTGTATATTTATTGGTGCTACACAGATCTTAACCATGGCGGCGAGTGCGAAGCGAAAACAGGAGGAGAAACACCTGAAGATGCTTAGAGAAATGACGAGTTTGCCTCCCAATAGAAAGTGCTTTGACTGCGATCAGCGGGGCCCAACCTATGCCAACATGACTGTGGGCTCGTTCGTGTGCACCTCCTGCTCTGGCATCCTGTAAGTACTCTCATTTATTCAGTGACCTTAGTTTAGACATGGCGCACACGGCACAACGTTTTGATACCCTTCAACCGCTGCAATGTGCGTCAACCATCTCAAGTTAGCATATGGGAGCTAGCTAACGTTGGATCCTTATCACAATCTGTGTCAGTGTGGTCTTAATCTGTTGTGTCATTGTTTCATGCATTATTGTGTGCGGGCAGATTAGGATTTTAGAGTCAACTGCATTGAAATTATTACTGATCAGTCAGTGGCTAACTTTAGCTCCCAGTGCTAGAGAGTGAACCAACTTACTGTCACTTACTACTCGCCTTGAGATAAGCCAAGTGCCTGCCCATACTGATACTTCTAGTAGCTGTTAAAATGAAGATTTTATCTCCAACACAATAAACCAGGAGTATCAAATATATAGTGCTGCAAGAGTCCATGAATAATTATAATAATAGTCTAATGTCTGCTATGCAACAAGTTAAAAAATTAAGAAGCCATTATCAAATTTAACAAAACGATATCAGAATTGAACTCATAACACTTAGATAACATTATATAGCTATTACTTGATCTCTGGAAGTGCAGTTGTGTAATCATCAAGCATAATGTAGCTCAGGACTGAGGATTAGTGAAGCATTGCATTCCTTGTTCACCTAAAGATAACCCCCCCTCCATTAAACTGTAAACCAGGCCTCATGGCACTTACAGTGACACTATTAAAATGACTTTGCATTAACAGATGGCAGCAAACGTACAGCCGTATAAAATAAAACATGTCTTTGGGATAAAGGAACACCATTATCTAAACAAAAAGGCTCAAATTGATTCAACATATCTACACAACTATTAACACCAAAGGGCATGCATTCCACAGGTTAGTTATTACTCCATTTTAGGTTTAAATGTGGTAATTATTTGCTGTGCAGCTACAAGCTAATCAGTGAAAACCTTGGCATCACTTTCACGTTTTACCTCTTACTGCAAACAATCTTATAATTGGCCCTGCTTTTGCAGACATATTTAGGCCATCACTCATATTTAATAAAAAAAAAAAAAGTTTTAGGACTCATCCAGTTAGAGACTAGAATAAACATATGTTTTATAGGTTTATTTTCAGCATATCCATGGATGACATCGGTGAGACATTGGCTAAAGTGAGGATTTGTAGTACCAGTGTCTATGGATTATCTACGCTGGAAACCTGTTGTGATTGTAAGCTCAGGAAGTGCCATGGCCTCACAGCAGCTACATCAGCAACATGTGATTTTTTTAACATGACTCAAAAAGGAAATTATGAAAGTATTGTCTCTTTCAACATTCTGCTACTGAAATGCAACTTTTTGTTGTATTTTGCTTACTTCTTTTCTAATTTCACACTTTCACACTGTGGTGGTTGCAGCATTTTATAATTTGCAATTGCATGTGAAATTCCTTGCAAAAAAGCAAACCGTTTAATATATTAAATGTATAGATGATAAATAGTTTATACTTTTTGTCAAATTGTGGACAAGTCTTTTTTGGGGGGGGCAATAAGAGGTCCTCTACGTCATTACAGAAAATCTGCACTTATAGTTGTGGTTGCTAAATGGGTGGAGCTGGAATCTGCTATGTAAACACATTCCTCATCAAGGTGGAGGCTTTCCCAAGAGGAACCCAGCTCACAATGTGTCTGTGAGGAGAACTCCTTACTGGCAGGAAGTCACTCCACTCTGTCAGCTGCTCACATGGGAAGTCACTGTCACTGACTGTACTGAGCTGACAAGCATTGATGATAGCTCAAAATAGCTCTTCCATTGTTTACTGGAGAGTTTAGATGTCATAATATGAATGAATAGTGATGTGAGAAAGGGCAATACGATTTTACAATTGACATGACTTTTTGACAGCATGAAGGATTATTATTATTATAGCCAATAATAATATAGCTCAGAGTCAGATTCAAACTTAATATTTTGTCATGCTCCAGCATTTAAAATCCCACTGATTTATTGGATTATAGACATTTTAATTAGCATGTGTTTTCATATTCTTACAACAATATAACAACATGAAGGGAAAGAGTCTTTTAAAAAAAAAAAAAAAAATAAAAAATCCAATAAACAATTAAGCAATGGATTCCTTCAGATAAATCAAACGCATGAACAGGCATGACAAAAAGAGAAATTCAATCTGTCTCAAAATGTGTGTAAAATCCCTCAGTCGTCCATGAACAGGCAGATAATACCCAGTTTTACCAAATAAATGTCCTATTCAAAACCAATGACCTGAGGTGCAAAACATTTTATTTATTTATTTTTTCCCATATTTTGACACATGTTTTGAAGTGCTCCATTCAAAGATGTTTGGGGCTGTTGATGTTTTCCTACCTGACCTAGTTTGATTTTATGTGACAAGGATGAGATCGGGCAGCCGCCCCAGGCCACTCAAACAGCTTACTCCCAAGTGAAATTGACAACGAATATGTAAAGAACTTGTACTTATGACTTATGATGTGAATGATGGTTCCTATTTACAAAAAGAAAAGCCAAAAGTGTAAAGAGTGGGTGGACACAAGAACAAGTTTTGTACAGGGAAATGGTGAATAATTTAGCAGGCAGGTTTAGTATTACACTTTAAACCAGCACCCATATGTTCAACATACTTTGAGTTCTATAGAGTTCTGTTGGTTCCCAAACAAGCTGAAACATATTAAAATGACTTTACCACAACAAATTGATGGGGCCATTTTTGCTTCCCATTGTTGAATAGCACAATGTTTTTAAGACTATTTTTCAACTTGGGAAATGTCAGAATGTTTCTTTTCTTTTTTGTAATTATTTTAAATGTTATTTTAAATGTATTCTTTCTTAGGTGCCAACAAAAGCTAAAAGTAGTAATATAATATCCTAACATATTTTCCATGTCTGATTCCAAAGATCTCATGCTCTGATGTGTTTGCTAATTTGCATAAGTAAATATTTGCTAACTGTGTTGTTGCGCTTTTAAGGTTACAGAAAGGCAAAATGTGTTGAAATAAGACCTTTTGTGTTTGGGAGAAAAGTACAACTTTTTATAGACTATTAATACTGATTACAGATGAAGTAGACTAAATAAATACTGACCTTGATTCTAAATTCATTGCGACCTTGCAACCATTAGTTTCTGCTTACTCATACATCAAGAATAAACAGTCAAGCACTCTACAAGCTTAATATAAAAACCACTGAAGGCTGTCTTTGACCTATTACAATTGACGGCCATTTTGAACCCAGGGAACTTCCCTCCCCAGCAGCATAACTTGTGTTGGCTCATGAATCTTACTATTACTACACCCATCTAGGCTTGTCAAAAGTATTGAAAATCAGATACTCAATATTAAAACTAATAATGGCGACTTGCTGTTATTATTATTCTTTTTTTATTATTATTATTGTTATGATTATGTTTGTTTTGCTTATTGTACGTTTTGTTCCACTGTAAATGTTGTTCAGCACTTTTTTTAATACTAATTTCAGCAAGTATCGATACTAAAAAAGTCAGATTCACAGGACAGAAATGAAACTTTCCTGAATAGCTTTACAATGATCTAGATAAGACACTTGGTAATATGAAAACAATACTATTTATTGTTAAAAATCACATTTTGTTGTCTAAAGGAAGAGTGTTATAATTATTGCAGTATCAGTATTGAGTATTGAGTTTATTCCTTAGTACTGAAATCGACTTTGAAATTTTTGTACTCTGACAACACTTCTGCACCCATCACTATTCACAGTTCTGTCTGTCTTTTTTGTCTTTTATCATCTACACTGTTGAAGGCCAGTGTATTTGATTGCGGTAAATGATCATGTCCCACTACTGTCACACGCATTGCCCTCACCACACTGACCTCTCTCTTCTCCTCCTCTTTGTCAACAGACGAGGACTTAATCCACCCCACAGAGTCAAGTCCATCTCTATGACGACCTTCACGCAATCTGAAATCGAGTTCCTACAGAAACATGGCAACGAGGTGGGTGCTCATTATTCCAATATAATTTTGACAAGTGAAATGTTTGCCTTCGTGCTGTTTTTGGGCAAGACACACTGTACACTGGTTAATGATTGTCTGACAGCGAGAGTGAAGTGGACTACAATCTATTGGGTATGGATTTGCATGCGCTCTCCCTAACACATAGTGACATCTCATTAAATGGACAGATGGAGATGACTCAAACTTTGGCAATGAATGCTAAAAAAATGCGAATGATACCAAGCCTATGTTTTATTTTACCACATATTTTACCCCTTAATACTCTGAGTTTGACAAATGTGATCACATTGTCAAATCGTGATTCTGTTCAGAGTACATATTCAGGAGCATTGCATTTGAGAGAAGTCTGAAAGGTTCAACTGCTAACAAATTAGGCAAGGGAAGTTTATTTGTATAGCACAGTTTGCTTTACAGAATAAGAAATATGTTAAAATCACATTACAAACAAATGAAAACATAAATAATCATCATAAAATTAAGTGTGGAATGAAAACCTTTCAATCATATGCTCAGCTAAAGAGAACTGTTTTGAGTCTGGAGTTAAACAGGGTCAGAGTAGAGGCCTGTTTCACATGTTCAGGAAGACTTACAGGTTTTAGCTGCATAAAATTGAAAGACTGACTCTTCATGTTTTTAGTTTTGACCCTGGGCACCAGCAGGAGTCTGAGGTCCCTGAGGTTCTCAGAGTGCGAGATGGTTCATATGGCACTAACATGTCAGAGATGTAACGTACTTTGGTGCTAGGTCATGGAGAGACTTGACCACAAGCAGAGCCACTTTAAAGTTCATTCTCTGAGCCGCAGGAGCCAGTGCAGAGACCTGAACACAGGACTTATGTGCTTGTATATTACAAGAATGCCATGCATTTCTAAACTATAGTTCTTTTCCATTAAAGCCAGGATATTTTGTTGTTTGCTGAAACCATTGTTACCTAAATAATTTCTGACATTCTGAAATCACAAACTGCATCACGTCTCATTTAAAGGTCCCATATTACACAAACTTCACGCTTGGGAGCTTTAAGACACGTTAGATTGTTGTTGCCAAAACATACCCGGAGTTGTGTTTTGTTTCATTCACGCATGTTTGAATAACCTTTTTATTATTCTGTCTACATCTCTAAAACTCAAAAAGCTCTGTTACTTCTTGTCATGAAGCTGTAGTTTTCAAATTAACAGCTACCATTTACCTTTTGTTTAGTTGTGGAAATTACAGGGCTGAAATTATCCAAATGATTTAGTATAGGTGTATGGGGTTTAAAAACACAGTGGGGCACTTCCTGTATTGTCACATGACATCATAAAGTATAATTGTTTTTTGTTTGAGAGATGAACTGAGCCTAAATATGCATGTTTAAACATGTGTGAATGAAACAAAAGACAACTTCAGTTTTGTTTTGTTTTGTTTTTTTTTGTTGAGGAAACATTACAACATAGGTCAGAAAATAGCGTAATATGGGCCCTTTATTTTTATAAGTATATTGACTATTCGTCTCTTATCATAATTACAGGAAGTCACATATTTTTGTTATAAGCATCACTCAACCGTTTCTAGTAAATGGAGCACAGAATAGAGCAATGCCACCTGGGAAGCAAAGTCTATTATAAGCCGTGGCAATGTCGAAACAGCACCGGGAAAGACTCAAGGTTGAAACTGCCGCATGCATCCAAAGCTGCTATATGAATTCTGCAGCGCTCATGTTTCCATTTCACACCTGAAAAGAGATGCAGACTAGACTGGAAAAGGCGAGGACTGAGAAGTTAAAAGTGAAGTTGACTTTCAATTTAACCACAAAGACCGCAGTAGCTGAAACTTCCCACTCGTCTATGAGCAACGCTGTAACCTATAATGCAGATACGCCCTCTTCTAAACCATTTCCCATGTGCACCAGTTTAATAGGTTTATGTTCACTTTTTTTCACATTTTATTTGTTTTTGTCTAAACGATGGAGGACTAGTGTTATTATTATGTTTTATCTCCAAAACAGTAATTGAATAATACTGCCAGTTTTGACACTATAGTGAAATATATTGTCCGAATGTATTTATGTTGTGAAATTTAATGAAGTTAATGAATTTAATTTAAGTCTCATTGATAATTACAGATATATTAACAATAAATATACAGCAATTTGACAAATAAATGAACTGACATTTTTCCTGATCTGACAGAATGACGATTTCTTCTCAGGTATGTAAACAGATTTGGCTGGGCCTGTATGACGACAGAACCTCATCCATACCAGACTTCAGAGAACCACAGAAAGTGAAAGACTTCCTTCAAGAGAAATATGAGAAGAAAAGATGGTGAGCATTGTTCGAGGAGCCCCCAGTGCAAACTAAGAGATGCTTCAGCCATGTGTGCGTAGCTTTGTCTGCTGTTGTTTTTCCCCTGTGCCTTGGAATGTCTCACACAGCTCCTAGCATTTAGCCTCAAGCAGCTAAACACTATTCTCTAAATGTAGGTCATCATAGACAAACTGTACAGAATTTAAATAAGCTATTCTTGTTTAAGGTGTGTTTTTGAATACTCTTAAAGTTCAAAATAATTATGTTGTGTACTGTGACTCTTAGCTTTTCATTTTGCAGTCGAAAATGGAGATGGCTTTGGTCTCTGCCTCGACTTGTCACTACTTGCTGTAGAAATTCTCAGCTGCATGGGGTTTTCTACTTAAAACTTATAGTCTGACAGTGCAGTAATTGTATATGTGTTTTCTTTTTGCTATAATTGGTCAATTTTAGGGTGCAAATTTTTGAGAGATTTAATATAGCAAATTAGAGGTCTCTGACATACGTCTGCCAGATGATACTGAATTGTTGTAATTTGGAAATGTAAACTTTCAAAGTTGAGATTATGTCTGCATTTAAATTTTTTAAGTCAATTCCAACATGTGCAATAAATGAACCTCAACTCAAACTAGGCTTATCAAAAGTATTAGAGAAGAGAAGAGAGAGTAGAATACTAATCGAACTATTATCAAAACTAGATATTCACTTCAGCAAGTATCATTCACAGAATAGAAATGAACCTCCTGAATAGCTTTTGAATGATCTTGAGCTGTTTCTGATCAAGTATGAAACCACATAAACCACATAGTATATGACCATGGACCACTGTAGAACCAACTTGGTTGAATGAGAGATTTCACAGATACAAGGCCACATTGTAACAGAATGTGATTTTCAACATTAAATCATAGTACTTTCTTTTATGTTGTCTAAATAAAGATGTGGTTTTGGTATCTGCATTGGGTATCGACCTTTTGTTTTGGTTTCCAGGTGGGTACCTCCAGAACAGGCCAAGGTTGTTGCTTCAGTCCATGCTTCCATCTCTGGCTCATCCAACAGCAGCACGAGCAGTACTCCAGAGGTCAGACCACTCAAGACACTGTTAGGAGAGTCTGCGCCATCGCTACACCTCAACAGGAATACCCCACCCAACCAGGTAAGCAAAATGCTTCCTTTATATTTCACTGTTTTTAAGTCCCATAATAGGCGTGATTCAGGTAGTTTGTTAATTCTTTGGGATAGACAGACACACAAGCTTGTTTTTCCTGGTTATAATCATATAATATACAGCAAATGTTAATTGGATTAATATTTGTCGCCCTTGGCTGGTAACAAAGGGCTTAGGAACCATGTTTATATAGCAAATATGCATCATCACTATCAGCAGCATGATTCTAACAGACCTCCTCGTTTCCAAGAGTTTTGAATTGATTATGAAATGTCTGTGCTTATTCTTTTGGAGTTTTCTCATCTAAATCAATGTTTTAACAGTCACCAGTCGTGAGCCGTGGACAATCCCATCCGCAGCAGTTCCATGAGAAGAAGTTTGACCTTCTCAGCGACCTGGGGGGAGACATCTTTGCAGGACCACCAAACATCAATGCTGGCGCCAATTCCAGTTTTGCCAACTTTGCACATTTCAACAGTCACACAAGTAAGAAACTGTTCCAGTCATACTGAGATCATATTATGATACATGGGGGATTTTTTGCTACCTGGATACTACTCCATTTGCTTGTGTTACAACCACAAATGCAAAGCTTGTTGGTGTAATTATCAGGAGAGGAATGCCAGATCCTCATCTGGCTATTAGGCTTTCCTTTCTCCATGCAGTATAATGCCCTCTCATTTCCTCTTTAAAGAATCAAAAAACTTCCCGTTGTGGCATTCCAGCGATATAAGCATATAAGTATAGCATTTGTGTATCTCATCTATTTCATTCCATTTCTCAGTTTTTACGACCAAATATTTGTTGTTTTTCCATAGTTGTGTCATATGTCGCCAGCGACTGCCTGACATTTCCCCTCATTGTTTATCCTGTTGTCTGATTGTGTGTTTTGTTCTGTCACTCCATCCATCCCCAGCACCTCAGACCACCAGTGCAAATGCAGACTTTGCTAACTTTGACACATTTGGGACCACTGCTGCCTCATCAGGTGGTTTCCCTTCTGCCCCTGCTTCATTTCAACCTACAAATACAGGTATAATCTGCAAACAGCTGTAGTGTAAAGAAACATCTTTGAATGAGTCAATGGCTTTCTCAAGTTTAGGGCTGCAATGATTAATCGGACTCAGTAATTTACTAAAAATAATTTACTACTATTATGTTACTATTTAAATGAATGCCTGGACCACAAACTGCATAGACTATAGCATTACGGTTTGCTAGGAAAACGGGTTTTACCACACAAAACCAAAAATACACAAGAAGAATGTATATTTTTGGATTGTTGTTTAACTAAAATTTATTAAGAAGCCTCTATATTTGGCACAATAGAAAAAAAAACTTTTAAAAAAAAGGTTAATTGCAGCCCTATACTAAATAGCATATATTCTCCAACATTTTGTCTGTAAATATGTTTACTGGATGGTTTTCCTAAATTTTTTATCTAAAATCCATATTTCTGTATTTCTCATTTGCCTTTCCTATCACTGAATCCAGCTAAAGCTCTTGATGTCTGCACTTTTCAAAGCAAACTGTCCTTTCTCCCCCTTCTGTGACATGCATGGAGCGCCCCCTTTCTGGAGGATAATGCATTGAGCTGAATTTATAATAAATCGTATTTTAAAAGCTCACATCTTATCTTTATCAGTGGCTCCAAGATACTGGGGTGAAATTACTCTTTAATTTGTGCAATAAAATTGAACTTGAAAATCTGACATTTGTTCATTGAGAGGAACAACCCAACCCAGTTAAGAACCACTGTTGTCTGTGTAATCCAGTCATTTGCATTAATGTTCCTTCTATTTTCTTTACCACTGCTTGTAAATCATTTTTCATTTGCCTGTCCACTTTACCTGAGATGCCTCATTGCTTCATTTTTTTCTGTCCCTTTTGATTTTGGCTGCCAGCCTTCACTGTGCTCTCATCCAGTCGCAGTATGGGTGAGTTTGGTACTGCACTGCCTCTCCAGGCAGCACACAGTAAGTGGTACCTCTTGCTTTGTCCCACTGTATAGTGGACGTTTCCTCACTGTTTGTGTGTGGCATGTGGCTGTGTCAGCTCCTGAAATTTACAGCTTTCCTTCACAATGCTGTGTGATAATTTAAACCATCTAAATATCAGAATCATGTGTAAGCACAGACTAGCAGGCTGCAGAGCATTTCAGAATTGGTTTGGGCTCAGTGAATTGGTGAATTTCCTATGACTAACAGTCATCAGTCTTTCGTGCGTTACCTTCTTTAAAACGGGTAGCCTGTACTCAGTATGCCTGCCCTTTGCTTATTAACTCTTGGTCGCAGCTTCTTCTGTCCCTCAAAATTTATTTTTTGTTTTATTCAGGACATAAAAGTCATGCCCCCTTTTATGATTTTTAATTTCTCTTTTTTACACAGGTAGCACCTCAGGGGGACTAGGAAATGCCAATTTTGCAAATTTTGACAACTTCCCCAAATCGTGTAGTGCTGACTTTGGATCCTTCAGTTCCTCCTCCCAGAGTAACTCCACAGGAGCTGGCAGAGAAGCTGCACAGAGTAGTGCCCCTGCTGATAGATACGCAGCGCTGGCTGACCTGGATAACATGTTTAGCTCTGGCAAAACGGAGCCAGGTAAACTCTCCTGCCTAGCCTGTTTTAGAAATGGCCAATAGAAGAACACAACTCCAAATTCTCTCAGTTCTGTTTTCGTTCTATTGAAAAGATGGACAAAATATGTCAACTACAATGTCCCTCAGAGTAGCAGTGTAAAAGAGAGGGTATTATTCAGTCTTTATATAAAATTCAAACATGAATGGTCATATATTTTATTATTGGATATGTAAATTTCTAACTATTAAACTATTGTCATTTTAGTAGGTTGAAAAAGACAGCCACCTTGGGACCCTCTTTACTTTCCCATCTGTGACTGTGTTTTTTCTTTAGGAGGTGGTGTTCCCAGTGGAACGAGCACAGCAGCAACAGCTCATGTGGCCCAGGTCCCTGCAACTGGAGGAGACCGTTATGCTGCTTTGGCTGAACTGGACACCGTGTTCAGCACCTCGGCGCCCACTAGTGTCTACAACACCACCAGCACCTCACATGGGTGAGCTCTGAATGTGTTCTGACTAGGGATGGGCATTCGATGAAATTTTCTTAATCGATCGTCGGAAGAATTAATGATCGATTATCGATTAATCATTAACGTTTTTATTTTAAAATGATCATCATTATTATTACTATTTGCACTACTAATCTGCATAAATAAATTCAACTTTACGACATATAAACCGTAACCACTCTAGAGCCACATCAATCCGTTTGAGATTATAATGTGTTTAATTCTGTTTTGCACAACTCTCACAGAAACGAAACTTAAAACCGCATCGCTAATTTGCATAAACTAAGCGAAGATAAAACTACAGCTCTTGTGCGCTGATGAGGTCAATTTCTGTTGGATTAAAAGACATGACTCTGTGGAATACAGGTTAGTGTGACCAGATTTGCGTTTGTCAAAACCAGGACACTGTACGGGGGGTGGGAAGTGGGGACTCGTCATCGACATTGCGCGACTCTCACCTGGCAAAACTTTTTCCCACTGGACACCGAAAAATATGTGCTGCTTTGTTCACTGTGCACATGGCCTCACACTTGTCCCGACCAGAACGGAAAGCATGGAATTTCTTATTCAAGTCATCGTTAAATACGCATTCGGTACGTTGCAGACTGACCGAATGTTTCTGTTTGCTCGCTCCTTCTGAGTGCAGAGAGCTACATGTACGGACCCCCATTTGGTCACGCTACGCACAGCAACCTACATTCGGTTTGTTGATTAAAATGAACGTAATCGATGAAATTCTTAATGATCAGTTATCGATTAATCAATTAATCGTGCCCATCCCTAGTTCTGACATACATAGTATTCAGTCTGTATGGCTATCTCTTACATACTGCTGTTTGTTTTACTGCAGCAGTGTGTTTGCATCAGACGGTGGAGCACCATCAGCACAACCACCACAGACTATGCCCGCTGTGGCTCCTGGATTTGGAGGTTAGTGAACAATTTTTTTCTCAAATGTGTAATGACTTAAATCCTAAAATGCATTTAGTGTATAGAATGACTTGTACTCAGGGTGAGCCTCTGTTCTCAACTTTCTATTATCCTACAGCTCCATCAACGAATCCTTTTGTGGCTGCTGGCATTGGCCCTTCTGCAGCACCCACCAACCCATTTCAGAGCAACAGTCGAGCAGCTAATGTGGCGGCAGCAGCCGGTATGTCAAGTATCCTAAAGGCTAGATGCTAGTACTGACAAAAGCTACATGCTAGTACTGAGCAGCTGAGCAGTTATTTTTATTTTATATTTGTCTCATTGTTGTTGGCACACTGGACAGGCTTGATGGGGTTTCTTCAGGGGCAGGCAGTTCCACCCCACCTGGGTAGGTCCATGGTGTACTCTGCCCCCCAAAAAGCATACATTTTGTATGAATGCTTTCAGATATAACAATTTTACACCAAACTGCAAATAGGGGTGGGTGATATCGGCAAAAATGTCTCAATAATTTTATGAGATTATCCTGATGATAATCTAACAGTATTTCATACTTTTTGTCAAAAATATCTCCCACTTCTAACTGCACATATAACCCATTACTACTGTAAACTTATAAACAGCATTTGTTTATCTGGATGCATTATGTTGACCCCACTTGATGTGTAACTTGTGCTGTTCTTAAAGAGGTTGTAGATGATTTGGTAATGTTTATGGTGTGGCATTTACCTAACAGATGTTGGTTTGCATTTTCATTGGTTTGCATTTTGTAGCACAATTATCACATCCATAGAGCAGCTGTTCGGTGCTAACAGTTTTTGTGCTGTGTTGTAGCTTCTTTTGGCACTGCGTCCATGAGTATGCCATCTGGATTTGGAAATGCTGCTGGTTTCAACCTCCCAACCAGTTTTAGTGGGACTTTTCAGCAACAGTTTCCTGGTCAAGCTCCTTTTCCTCAGCCTCCCGCATACCCACAACAGCCCAATGGTTAGCACTTATGTCTATCTACTACACTATGTACACACACTCATTTATTGCTTCATTTTTAAAATAGTGTTTAACATGTCCTTTTTTATTTTTAGGTGGATATCCAGGGTTCGGTCAAGCAAAGCCTGTAATGACTCCTTTTGGGCAGACAATGGCTGGACCAATGGTTTCCAGTAATCCATTCCTTGTAAGTACCCTTGCAAATGCATAAGACATAACCCCTAAAGTCAAGCTTCATATGCAGGATTACTCAATCGTGGTGCAGTCAAACTACAACACTGTATGGTCATGATTAATGGAAAAGCATTATAAAGCTCTTAAAAGAGCTATTTTGTTTTCGTTAAACTCCACATACTTTTTGTCACTTGACATTTTTTGCATTGTCATCTTCAGGGTGCTGGGCCATCTATGCAGTATCCGGCTGGAGGTTCCTCAACAAATCCCTTCTTATAGTGACCCACGCGGACATGCTTCACTACAGGGTCAAAAATGGCACGCTTGCACCTATTGCACTGTTTTGTTTTACGAGTAGCTTTAAAAAAACAATGTTTGTAAGGATTTGTATTTTCTATGACATGAGCGTGTGCAAGGGGCTACGGCTACAAGACAAAGTGACGTTGTGTGCTGAGGGAGAGGTTGATCCCCTCCTCTCTATTTAACCTGTGAACTGGCTTCCACTGAGCCACAATGTATAATCTCAAAGGCTGAATTTTAAGTTATTGCATACAGTACATCCTATCCATTATGCTGCATTTCTGTACATATTTTGCAAGAAAAAATCCTTTGTGCATATCAGTATTTGTATTCAAACCAGAATGGTAAGATTTTTGCCTCTTAAGAGCTAACAGGAACTGCCAGTTAATGTATTTGTTAAAAAAAAAAAAACAATTTTTAAAGCTGTGCTCACTTGAGAAAAAGACTGCTTATTGTAAAGGTGAAAGCTGTGAGACTGCTTTGGAGGGGCAGGTGACTCCCTTCATTGTGAATTGTATGGTTCTTAACTACAGTCCAACCACACTCAGGTGGATAACGGGAATTGCTTATGAACTGAAAACCACTTTCATTATGAAATTTTAAGTTAATGTGTAAATATATATACAGTATATATATTAAAATGAATTTTAAGTAAAAGTTGACCAAACTGTTCATTTACATTGATGTGTGAGATCTTGTATCATTGTTTTCTATAAAAAAAGAGAGCTTTATATGCATTGTGCTGTTGTCAGTAATTTAATACTACAGTACACAGATTGAATGAGTAAAAGAATTTTATAATCTGATCTCTTGAGAGCTTGGCCTTTCACGTCGGAATGTCCATATGATATAAAGGCCTCGTAGAGTGAAAACAATGGCAATGACTGCAAAATAGCTTGCATATATTATAAACTGAAAAAAAGAAATGTAACAAATCCAAAGGTTCTTTAATATATTTTTTTTATAAAATAATACAATATTGCAGATTCACCTGTGGAATGATGCTTAGACCCAATCCATTAGTGTCAACGACCACTGCCACAAGTATTGTCTGCAGGACCAATGCTGAAAAAGTATTCACTCCAAACACTAGTGCGTATCTCTCCATTGACAGACCAGCCGCAATCTGAAACCTAAGCACCCGTACTATAATCAGTCACGTAGCCAATCTGATACATGCAATGTCATAAAGTTATTGATTTTTTTTTTTTTTTTCTTATTTGATACCTAAATAATCACTATAATTCATTATTTCTTACTATAACTCAATACTTACATGGCTATTGTTATCAGCATCATGTACATACATTTGAAGACCACATATCCTGCGTAACACAGCCAGATGTTGTCTATAAAGGACATGAGAAAGAGGGAGGCGCACCCCAGACCAGAGAATCCACCCAAAGCCAGCTCTCCCCAGTGCTCCCATCTCACCTCAGTGAAGCCTACACCATATGCTGTAACTGCACCTACAGGGGAGGCATGTGTAAAGTTTTAATATAAAACAAATATTATGGGCTATAGTCATACTCAGGAGGTTAGAGACAGCTTCCACTCCGCCATTGTAGATGCTGGAGTTCTGGGAGGGCTCAACATGTTCCCATAGCACCTGAAATAAGAATGGAAGTTACATGTGTTCTTTTTCCTTTTAGCTTCTATTGATACCATCCTATAAAAATTTGGTACTATACACATTATAAAACATGATTTAAAAAAAAATGTTAAAGGTCCACTCACTGTGTAACTTTTCTAGTGGGGAATACACTGCTTGCTTGTCTCCATGGACTCCTTGTCTCCTTAAATGTCTAGTTTTAATTTCATTACAAATGTTTTTATTGCTTCAAAAAACATGCATTCGTACTGTGAGTTGGTCGCCACCTACTTGTTTTCTACGGAATTGCCATACTGTGAAACATTCCAGGTATAGTCTCAAACAGAAAAGTTACACAGTGCATCTTTAACTGATATGTTGGCCTATAGTTATAATTTTTATCAACTGACCTGCACGTAGTTGACTGTCTGGTTATAGCCACAGGTAGCCATAGCCCACCAAATAGACCAAAAGAGGAGGTTTCTAGATGAGTAGCACTCAGCCAAATCTTTCTTCACAAGCCAAAGTACTTTACCAAGACTTCCTTTTCCAGTGTAGTTGTTTTCTTTCACATCTTCTCCTGGCATTTCTCTTGTAGACCCCCTATCTATGTCCTCAATTACATCCTCTCGATCATCAGGTTTTTTACGGTGGAAGAACAAGCTCTTTTTTGGCATTGGTAGAAGGCAGGACGTAACCATGGCCAGAGCAGTAAGGATCATAGTGAATACCAGGATGTTCATGAATGACATCAGATTAAAACTGACCAAGAGCTGCCCCAGGACCGCCCCCACCGTGTACCCTAAAAGCTGCACGCTGCGGATGAAAGAGGTGGCTTTCTTGTACCACTTCACTTCTATCACACTGCAAGTAAAAAAAAAATTGATCAAATCTAAAGTATCCTAGACTATTCAATGTTTTTCTGTTATTTTACACTCTGGAATAGATTGTGCTGAGTTTGTTGTTCAAATCCCTCATTTATAGTTCATACTACAAAAAACTTCACATTTTGTCAGTATGAATCTTATAGCGTGTTTAATGGTGGTACATAAGACATTGGCACAGAATGGCAGCCATGGTTCAGTTAGTATGCCCCACTACAGTCACCACCACCATCAATGAGTTACTAAATGGTAAATGGTCACATTTTTCTATAGCGCTTTTCCACCTTCAAGGCACTCAAAGCGCTTTACAACAAGGAACCACTCACCCATTCACACACACATTCACACATCAGTGTACGCAGACACTGTGGGCAAGGTGGGTTAAGTGTCTTGCCCAAGGACACAATGACAGCATTCATCTGTGGGAGCTGGAATCACACCAGTCAACCTGTGGGTCAATGGATCTGACCGCTCAACCTGTGATGTTTATGTCGAGAGCTACAACACAAGGCTTGTGTTACTATGCACAATTTAAATGTCATGAACAAACCTTACTAAGAATCCCTATAACACTAAACTAGGAGAAAATTTGACATCCATACCTGTAAATGTATGAAAAATATGCCACATCACATGCCGTCACCACCCCGTAGAAGAACTGTGTGGTCTGCATGGTGGGCACACTTTTGGTCCAGTAGAGTAATGCAGTTACGACAAAAAGAGCAACACTTTGGAAGAAAATCACAGGCTTGTAACGCAACCAATCTGTGAGCAGGAAGACTGGCACCAGCACGGACATGTAGGAGTATGTCCAGACTGGGAGAATCTCATTGTTTACCTGGCATAACCAGAACAAGGATTACATCTCACCATTTAACTTTCCTAATGAAGGGTTCATCAGTTTTTTTTCTCAGTGGAGATGTTAATGCTTAGAATATTTTACAGTATGGCATAAAGGTTATCTAGTATTTATATCCCTACAAGTGATTTTATTGCTCAGAAATACACAACGTACAAACCTGTGTTCCTTGTGTTCACATGGCTATGTCACATTATCCAGTGTAATTGTATTTAGTGTGTGCCCTGTTTCACCTTTATGCCCTGACAAAGACCATCTAGCTTATCGAAACATCTTGGCGTCCCTCCCCATGCAATAAAGAACTTTTAATATTTTCAGTCTGTGTGCCTCAGGTTTGTACCTTGCCATTTTTTCTAGTAAGGGCCACATTCTGCTGAGATTTCAACCTCCACAGAGCACCTGTACATGCATTGTTACTGTATTCTGCACAGATCTAACCTGTAACTTTGACTGATGGTGCTACCTGCTTGTCACCATAGGGAATGGAGAAGTTTAATGCCATACTATAGAACATTCCTGGTAATTACCTCTACGTGGTGATAAGTTTGGTCACAGACCCTGAATCAGAAAAGTATACTTTAAGTTTTAATTCATTTCTGATAGTAATTACCTGCTCTGCTGTTAAATTCTTGTCCAAACCACTCAAGAATGGTATAAGAAAAGGCTCCAGTGGCTTGACAGTGCTGAAAAATCCGTAAATGCCCAACAGTATAGTGGCATACCTCCAACCTGATTTCCAGTTTTTCCATTGCCTAACTAGTTCCATCTAAACCACAATTAGTTCTTAACCTGTCCCAAACACGAAAGGAGTTTAGTTTGCATACACTTGTCTTCCTTCCTGTGTTAAATTCCATTAGTCAATCAATAACCAGTTCTGATCATGGTTCAGACAGCTGCACTCGTGGCATGGAATAAGGTCAAAATAATCATCATGTTTTCAAACATTCTAGGCCCCTTTTCCTGAAATTTAGTAAAATTATTTCCCAGTGAATAGTAATAACTTAGCATATTATTAATATTTATTACTTTCAAAATATTATCAATAGTTTTAAAGTGAGAGTAAAGTTTTAGACATACACAGAACACAATATGTTTTGGGATTTTCAATGTTTGGGTTACGTTTTGAGTTATATTATAGTAATTTTATGCTAAACAAATTAATGTACACATTTCTCTATGAAACAAAATATAACTTGTCTTCGTATCATCATATTATCTTTATTGACCATGCTTAAAACTGCTCTTCGTTGATCACCGTCACCTTCCTAGAGTCGTTTTCTTCAGAATGGTTTTGATAGGTGCAGGCTGTGTGCATCCCTCGAATCAGGAACAGCACTGAGATGACTGCGTAGTAGCTTCCATAGATAATGAACTGCAAAGAACCATTATAAATCAATGCTTTAATAATTAAAGTTTTAGTTTTCAAGTGTGGATGGAAATTGATCATTTCAGTGATGTTTTCCCTACTATGTTTATTTGAAACGTTTTTTGAAGAATATCTTATGGAATTGTGGAACCATACTCAGTCTAAATTGATAGGCGTATGCCCACTAGATGTCTCTCTCTGCTCACTCTACTGATGTGAGTATTGGAGCTCAGTACGAGATTTATCAACAGTTACGACTGCAAATTAGATATTATTTGCTGCTAGTACCGCTTATTTGCTGCTATTGCCACTGACTAAACTAATTTAACTCTTCAGTCTTTAACTCTTTAACCACTATTATTAACAATATTACAACAACAACTACCAGCAAGTTAGCAGCTTTTCTTCTTTTCACAAAGACTCAATTAAAATACACTAATGCACACAATGGTACCTGTGTGACTATGTCCAGTCCCAAAGCAGTTTCATCCACAACTATAAAAGTCACAATGGTTTGTAGCAACAGGGCCACAAATGTGTTGATGCCAAACGTCAGGGCGTAACACTCCATGGACAGGTTTGATGCAATCTGAAATCTGAAAATTAATTTAGGAATTGTGAACAGTGTAAAAACAGAGATTTACATTTTTCCAACTTACACAGCAATGGTAATGAGTAGCATGTAGCATGATTTGAAAAGAACATAACCAGCATAGCAGGCCCAAATATTACTGGTCAGTGCCATAAGAAAAATTGCCCCAGCCCCTGCAGCTGAGAAGAATCCTAGGGTCAGCTCACCCCACACTACCCAGGTCACCTTAACATGACCCACACAGAAAGCAGCTGCTGCACCTGGATAAGAGAAGCAAGTATAAGTAATATACACGTTGTGCTGGTGCATTATTACTCCTATGCATATTAGCAAGAGTCTATCATGTCATGCCTACGTTTTTAAAGTTATATATATTGTGCAGTGGAAAAATTTTTTACGACCATTTCTTAACTCTGTATCCTGTTTTTGTTGTGTGCTGCAGATCACCAGGATGTCCATACATCCGAAAATCAGATAATTACTTATATGAATCTTTTCAGCTAAAAAAAAATATAAAAAAGAAAAAGATTTTGAGTGCATTTTGAGATTTACCTGCAAGACAGCTGACAGCCTCAACACCACCGTTGTATGTCGATGATGCTCCTGATGGCTCAATGTGGTTCCACATTAACTGGACATAGTTGAAAATCTGAATGTAGCCTGCAGTGGCCAAAGCCCACCACAGTGACCAGCAGATTAACTTACTATATGCAAAACAAAACAAAACAAAAGCACAATTATGGCAGGTAGTATACTAATACAACTACATGAATAAGGCCTTACCTTGAAGAGTAGCACTCCTTAAAACTTTGGAAAAGTAAACGGCCTGCTCTTGTTATATTTTCTCTGCTACACCACCGAATCTCAGCCCTGTGTCTCACACTGTCTTTCTCTGTCGGAGAGGCCTGTCCCCCTTTGAAGAATAAACTTGTCTTGGGCATTGGCAAACATAAAGAGATGAGAAAAGCCACTATTTCTAGTCCAAGGGTGATGGCATTGAGGTAGAAGTAATCCAGACCTGTTTGTCACAAAATTGAAATTGTGGTCCTTTTGCAGTGAAAAACATTAATTTGAGATATTTTGGCCTACCAGCCACAGAGACAAGCAACTGGCCAAGAGATGCTCCAAATGTGTATCCAATCAGCAAAGCACCACGCAGGTATCCCGTTGCTCTTTGGTAATTCTCAATGGGTATTACACTGTATATGTATGAAAAATAAGCCACTTCTGTTGATGTCACCACTGCATAGTTAACCTGTGGATGAATTGGAAAGATGTTGTAAGAAATGATTGTGTTGCAATACTAAAAACAAATGATTGCATTGTTTAGCACACACAAACAAACATGTGAATAGATTTATTTATTGATTACATTTATTTAATTATTTATTTTCGAAGAACATAAATGTGTTAACTGGTGTGTTTGACAATAGTTTACAGTTTAATAATAGTACCTCACCTGTAAAAAGACCATTGCTGCTAAACCTGGAACAAAGCAGAGCAACACATAGTTGGAGACGAGGAAGAGTCCTTGAACTACAATGACAGGCTTGTGTTTTAAAAAGTCGGTCAGCAGAAATACAGGGAAAAGGAAACACAAGTATGAGTATGTCCATATGGGAAACAGATAATTGGTCACCTGAAAAACAAGGACAAACACTGGTAACCTCTAACACTCAAGGCGTATTACCCTATTTTTTTTTTGTTAGGGTTGGTATTCATTTCTCGCCTCTAGAGAGTAGACCTACCACTTACCACTTCTTCGGAAATATTCTTGTAAGGTCCAATCAGGTATGGTGTCAAGAAGGGCTCTGCTACTCTACTGGAACAAAAAAATCCATAGAGACACAAAATTGCAGTAGGATAAGCCCAAGTGGAGGACTTTACTTTGTTCCAACAACTCATCCCTGGATCCTGTACCTGTCCAGGTAATCTCAGGTTATCTGTCAGAGCTGTTGAGTTTTCTTATGTTTCAGTAGCAAATATTTACGACCCTATCAGCAGTAGAGGACTTTGCCCTCTTGACAATTTTCTAGTGAAGCCCAGGTGCGGTGAAAGGGGAAAAGGTTTGGGGCACTAGTACCCTCTAGAATGCTCCCCCCAAACATAGGCCTTGCAATCTCGACTGAAAATGTTCAAATGCACTGTATCTAACACTAACTGTACATTAATCTCACACTAGGGTTAACTTGCATTCAGCTGATTTACTTTACTCACAGCTACGAATTTGTGGATCTTAATGATTGTGGTAAAGTATCAGTTACTTTCAGGGCAAAAAAGCAGATTACTTGTGTTTAGACTAAGGTCAACTTGAATGAGATGAGTAACTTCAACAGTGGCGTATTATTGGCAAGTGTCCAGCTCCATTTCCGTCTGTTCAGATCCTTCTTTTGCCACCTCCCTGTTTAACCTACAGCTGCCAATCATTCCCTAACGATATTCCCTCTATACTCTACTCTATACTCCCTCTGTTCATTCAGTCTGTGCTCGATTACTTGGTTGAGTTGACATGGAATGACCAAGCTATTATTATTGTTACACATGTTACTATGTGTTTTGAACTTAAGCAGAACAAAAGTTTTGCTACCTTTTTTTCAAAGACTAATAAATATTCAAATCCTTGTGTACCTGATGCAGATCTAAATGGTATTTTAGAACAGAACCTATTTTTACTGTAACATGTGTATATAAGTAACAATTACTTGCTCAATTCAAGGCAACTGGTTTCCATGGTTTTACCAAGTAAGATGAACTTACTCTTACTCTTAAAGTAAAGGTTACTACATATTTCAGATTTGAGGAACTGACTGATTAGTTGGCACAGCTTCACAACATGAGTTCTATGAAGGAAATCTTAAGTACACTTAACTTGCTGTGCCTAGTAAGATGAAAGAGGGATTTAATGTACACTACACTGAGGAATTACTTGTAAGCTCAGCTTTAGATTGACAGTCCATTTTAGTCAAATTTTAGTCAGATCGGTTTCCTTGTTTTTTTTGTTTTTTGTTTTTTTCCAAGTGGCTGTACTTATTAGATTTTTCAGTGTGGCAACCACAAAGTGTGACTCATTACACAGTGCTAACTACATTAAAACAGCAAAGCAAACATGGTAGGCAATGAAGGGTGCACTCCATTGTTAAAAGTTAAAATTATACATGTAAAGTAAAACTGTCTGGCGCTGCCCCTGGGTACGCCACCTGCTTGTCTCTTGTCTCCTACGATGTGCTTGATTTTCCACAGTATGGCCTATCTATCGTCCATCTATCGCCTTGGAGACACGCAGGTGACATTACAAGCCAAACTACAGGTCAGATCTTCTAAATTTAAGAATGTATTTGAAATAAATAAATGCATGATAGTAGAGGGGTAGATTAATGCCACATTTTTGGCGACCCCATAACAATAACATGTGAGCAACACCATAACGTTACTTAATGTATTTCTTGTAATTAAACTTGAGGTAAAAATGTATTCGTAAATGTAAATACTTACTAGTTATGGCCCATGGAAGATCCATTGTATTGTACCCAGGGTTGCGCCATAGACAGTGCGTATACATGCACATCAGTATCCCGGTTATGATCGTTTTTTTTTTTTTTTTGTTTTTTTTTGTTGAGTATCCCGGTTTCTTCATGGTGCATGTATACGCAGTATCCCGAATACTGCCATAACCGGGATATGGCTCATAATCGGTATACTGACGTGCATGTATACGCACTCCTGGGTTGCGCGTGCTTCAGACTCGTCTTTGTTTACATTCCTTTGCGCATGCGTCATCTCTATAGCAACTAAATGTTGACGGGGATCTGAGATCCGCGGAGACCATTGTCTGTGGCGGGGACCTAACTTTGACAAAATGAAAATAAAGCGCTTCTGTCTCAGATATTACCCACCAGGTAAATCATTCACCATGCAATTATTATTATTATTATTACCACCTTAATGTTATGACGTACTTTCAGCCACTGGCCTTAGCTACTTTTAGCTAGTTTCAATTGGCTAACAACGCTTCAGTAATGCACATTTCACAATATGGAAGCTAACTTATTTTAAACTCTTCTTCAAACAGGTATTATAATAGAATATGAAAAAGGGGAACAGCTAAGGACAAAGTCAATAGACCTTCTGGAATTATCAACAGAGTGCGTGAGTTTATTTTTTTAAATCAAATTTTATTATGTTTATTGTGGTTCCTTTTTATGTGTAGACTGTGACCATCGATGTATGAAATATCTTTGCAGGACAGATCCAGATGAGCTGGTGACAGAGATAGTAGAATCAGAGCCTTTGATCATAGAGCACTGGGCTGATCTGCTTAAAGAAATGATCATCTGCCTTCAACAGAAGAAAACTCAGCAAAATCATCACAAGTTCTGCTTTGTCAAGGTGTGTATAAAAATGCACTCAATTACAAGTACAAGTAGTGCTGCCAAATGTGTAACAGTATAATGTATGCATAAAAATATTCGTATGATGAGGAACATTAGAATTTCTTGATTGCATGTTTAAAATTTGACTCAAAAAATCCATATACCTGAAAAATTGACTTAATTACAATGACATATTTGTAATGGTATTTATTTTTTCATTTTCTCTATTTGTAATTTCAGAAAAGATATTTAAAAATGTCAAACTGAATTTAATGTCACATCCACAGGTTATTAATTTCTTACTACCACTGACAAATGTTGCTTTTAACAAATCTGGATCGAAGTAAGTGCACCAATCTAATGAATTAATTTTCATTTCATTTTCATTTCATTACATTTTCTACATGTCTTTAGAGATATATATTATTTATATGTTTTCTTGTTTCTCTGCAGGTTCATAACAGGGAGCTATGACAGAACATGTAGAGTATGGGACACAGCGTCTGGCACATGCCTTCTTACACTAGAATCTCATCAAAGTGTGGTCTACGCGATTGCCTTCAACAATCCTTTTGGGTAAACATCATGATGTATTTTCCCACCTGTGAATATAAAACAATAATCAGTCAGCCATATGTACAACTTTTAATTTCTCTCTTTCAGCGACAAGATTGCCACTAGTTCTTTTGATAAAACATGCAAACTGTGGTGTGCTGAGACGGGCAAGTGTTTCCATACATTTAGAGGACATACAGCAGAAATAGTATGTATTTGTATGTAATTTTTGCCTTGATGTTCACGTTCACCACTGTTGGAGAAACCAAGTTCTTGACAAATTTGTGTGTTGCAGATTTGCTTGGCATTCAACCCTCAGAGTACGTTAGTGGCGACAGGAAGCATGGATACTACTGCCAAACTGTGGGATGTAGAGAGTGGTGAGGAGGTGGCCACACTGTCCGTGAGTATTACACTTTATTTATACAAACGCTGTTTAACTGTTTTATTGTATGTATGAAGATGATGAACTGTGTGATATTGGGCTCTTCTGAATTGCTCAGTTCTAGATTTTTTTTGATAACATGTTGTATTCCATCTTACATTCCGTTTCGTTGTGTTTTAGGCTCATAAAGAAGAGATTCTTTGTTTATGCTTTAATACAGTGGGAAGCCAGCTAATCACTGGCTCCTTTGACCACGCAATGGCTATATGGGATGTTCCTTCTGGAAGGTCAGACACATAAAGCATATTGCATAAGGGCAAAAAGGTCTTTTACTAAATAACATGGTTATCTGCATCTTCCCCTAAGCCTTGTCCACACTCTGCGCGGTCATCTTGGGGAGATAAGCAATGTGCAGTTTAACTGGGATTGCTCACTTATTGTTTCAGCCTCTATGGACCATACCTGCAAGGTCAGCAATCCTACTGTGTTCTAAGTCTGCAGTTAGATGACACCAATGATTAAAAATGATCTAACTCACTCCTCTTTCCTGTTTCCTCAAATTAAGCAAACAAAAATTGAATGTTCAAATGTCACTCAGGCCTGTTTGTCTTTGCAGTTGTGGGAGGCATCCAGTGGGAAATGTGTGGCCACACTAGAAGGACACAAAGAGGAGCTGCTGGATGCATGCTTTGATTTAACTGGACACTTGGTGGCTACAGCCTCTGCAGATTGTGAGTCTTATTGCATTGATGCACCATTATTGCATTGTTAGTGAGTGAGTAACGTAAATGTAATGTTAATGTTATGTCATTTTTGCCCCAGGCACAGCGCAAGTATTTAGTGCAGTAACACATGAACATGTTTTAACCCTGAAGGGCCATGAGGGTGAGATCTCCAAGGTAAGTTTATGGGTATGCTCTAAGACCTTTAGAGACATTTGTGCATGTAAAAACATAGCCTTAGCATGTCAGGTCTAATAAAATGGCATAGGTACATACTATTTACATTTAAACTTTTTAATTTTTTTGCCAAACTGCAGTCAACTTACTCAAGCACATTTTTATTAACGATTGCTTGAAATGCACTGATCCTTAGTTGTATATGTATCTATTATCTGATTTGGTTTGCTTTGGCAGGTCTGCTTCAACCCCCAAAGTACTCGACTGCTGACTGCCAGCTCTGATCGGACGGCTCGTCTATGGGACATTAAGACTGGAGAGTGTGTTCAAATATTAAGTGGTCACACTGATGAGATATTCTCCTGTGCTTTCAACTACGAGGGAGACACCATTATTACAGGTACGCACATGAAGTAAACATAGGAATGTTCAAAGCACAGCACAGCATCAATCACATTATTATGGTACCTTCTTCACAGACTCATTGGGCATTATGTTAATGCAGAATGATAGAAGAATCCATGATTTTCAACTATACCTAGTGTGCATATTTACTACAATAAAGTTCTATGCTCTTTTACAGGTAGCAAGGATAACACATGTCGCATTTGGTACTAGTCTCTCATCAAACCACTGAAGGAACAGGAAATATGCAAAATATAGTTTTGCTAATAAACTGGCATATGTGTCAATACAAAAATGTCTTGCAGTATTTTTTTTCTGACTGAATACTTTTTATACAACTGAAATTCTATGATGCTTTGAATTGTAAACTATAGAAGTAATAATGAAATGCAGATGTCGTGTAAATGCTTTCTAAAATGATAGTATAGTTTCAAATAAAGAACCTAACAAATGTAACTTTTGTGAAATATTTTACTCTTCACCAAAGAGGGGATCTGAAACACAAGTGTAAGTGTTATTGCAGTGCCCAGAAAACTACCCTTGCCATGGTCCACCAGGTTTAGCCCCACCCTTAGCTCACACCCCAAGTCTGACCACAAGGTTGTAGAGGTGGTTGGAGTAAGATGCAATCTTTTTCCTGTAGAGTCTTATATAGTAGTTGGAGTTTAACTAAATTTGCTATTGACAATGGAGTCTTTAAGAAATTGGCGGAGATACACACATGTTAAATACACCTTTCTGGTAAGTGTAAATGTGTACTGTATGTGTGTTTTTATTTATTTATTCGTTTGTTAATGTATTTGTGGTATGTTGTTCTGAAGATGTATTCTACACAGATTGTCTTTCTGAATGCAAACACTATGGGGAGGTTTTCAGAGCCTGCCCAAGGACACAAGCCTCCCTCCTCATACTCCCCCACTGCACTGTATGAGCGTGACCCTGTGGACCCACCATCCCTGAACAAACTGAGCTCACCAAAGATATTTTCATTTACAATCAATGAAGACACATTACCAGGTAAGTTATGTGTCCTAATTAAACATTTTACATTTTGTAGAAAGTCTAGCGTAACACATCAGAGCAATTTATTCATGGGGTTTGGTCACTCATCTTTGTCCTGTAATGAATGCCTTTTTGACCATCCAAAAATGTAATCATTTATCCTGGAATTTTATCATACTGAACTTTATGAATATCTTTAGGTTCAACAAAATGGTGTAGTTAACAAAATAAACACTGAAACATTGATATCTTCAAAATAAATGTTATGTAATGTAAAGTGCTTTGGATGTCTTGGAAGGTGTCTACGTATTCAGTGCATAATTATTGATTGTCTCTTTAAACCCTTAAGTACTTATAAATATGTACTTGAAGAGTAATAATTATCAGGTAATGCATTTGACTAACCCTGGCTGCCTGTTTCTTCTGCTTGGTCAGGAACTGTAGTGGGAAAACTGGAGCTGCCAGTGACCAGTCCCACACCTATCACATTCTCAGTGCTGGAGGACGATGGCCAGAACCTATTCCTTCTCAGCCCTCTCTCTGGGGAGTTCCTTTTGTCCCGTGGCCTGGATTTTGAAACACAGAGTTTATTCATCCTGAGTGTGGGGGCACAGATAGGGCACGACTTGGTCTCCAGTATCCGTGTGTACTTTAACGTGCTGGATGTCAATGATAATCCCCCTGTCTTCAGCCAGGAGGCCATTTCACTGTCACTCCAGGAAAACATGTGGACTGGAGCCTGTTTCCTTGCACTGAATGTGTCTGATAAAGATGAGGGTATGTCTTGAATACAATGACTGAAACAACAATGACACTTCTCTATGTCATAGCACATTAATAGCATGGTAAATTATATACAGAGTTCATTTTGTATATTATTACCAAGAAAATACTAATGATGTCTGGTTATTCACAGTCTTCACACATGGTTAGGATTAATCATATTACCCTGAAATATATAATGGCAGATGTGTTCTGTTTTTATAAATTGATACAACATAATTATCATAAATATCTGGTATTATCAGGCTAACCATGCTATTATCTATTTTGCTTTGCTTTTTAAAACATCAAGTCAAAAATCATAATTTAATTTTGAAGACTTTTTCCCATTCAGATAATATAGTATTGTTTTATAAATTGAGTCAGCAGTCCTAATTTTTCATCATTCTGGACCCATGGATATTACAAGTGTATGCCATTACTCACATGCACTGTAAAAATGGGAATTAAATTGTAATGTTTTGATTTAAAATTTCATAAATGTTACCTATCTGTGTCTCCAGATACAAGGTAAACATGTCCAAATCAAATGTAGCTTTTAACTGATAACAGTTGTAATACTAATTTATTCTTTACAAATTACAAAAACACTGGATGTGACCAATTTGGTTATATTATAGCTTAGTCTTTTAGTTTTCAAGTCTCAAGTAGTCCCCCTAAAAATGTGTGCAGGCTACTGTTCCTTTAATCTATATAATGCAATGCTTAATTAAAAAAAAAATAAATAAAATTATTTATTTCTGCTTTGCATGACTGCTGTGGTATATTTGTATATTTCAAATAACTGCATTGTACCTGTCTCTTTTTTCACAGGTACAAATGGAGAATTAAACCTGAAAATTCTCAGTAGAGATGACAATGAAATATTCTTCATTAATCCTTCTGGAAATTTATGCCTGAAGTCAGATTTGGACCGAGAGAGACTATCCTTTTACAATCTGACTATAACTGCCAATGACTGTGCCCAACCACCATCTTTACAATTCACCAGTACCACATTCGTCACCATAACAGTGGAAGACATCAATGACAATCCACCGAGGTTTGCTTCTTACTCTCCTACAGTTAGTATATCAGAGGACAGTGACCTTAATGCTACTGTAATGATCGCACATGCTCAAGACCCAGACAGTGGCTTAAATGGAGAAGTTTGGTATTACTTGACAAATAGTTCTGATGGCATTTTTAGCATTGACAATCACACTGGGACAATTTATCTTCAAGAAAAAGTGGATCGAGAGAACATAGACAGGTTTGTAGTTTCTGTTACAGCTGTGGATCAAGGAACTCCACCCTTAAGTTCCACAATTGACATCACGATAATTGTAGAAGATTCCAATGACCACACGCCTGTTTTCACACAAAGTACTTATAGTCTTGATATTATGGAAGATGTAGTGCCAGGAACAAGTATCTTTCAAGTACAAGCTCATGACCGGGACATTGGAAAGAATGGACAAGTGAGGTACACTTTTGATAATTCAGGCCCATTTGTTGTGGATTCAGTCAAAGGTGACATCACAGTAATGGCTCAACTTGACAGAGAAATTACATCAAACTACATGTTCATTCTAAAAGCTTTGGATCAAGGAAACCCGCCCAGGGAGGCAACCACTATGCTCAATATTACAATTTTGGATGTTAATGACTTTACACCAGTGTTTTCACCAAATATAGTGACTATGCAGGTGATGGAGAATGGAAATACAACTCAACTACTATATGAGGTAATGACAGTTCTTAAAAGTCCGGTATTACACAAAATTGATTCTTGTGAGCTTGTTGATACTTTGTTACATTCACACATTTTGAAGCAACTCTTTTAATTAGTTAGTCTACATCTCCAAAGCTCAAAATGGTCTGCTCCACTTTGAAGTTAACAGATACCCTTTACCTTTTGTTCAGTGGAGATTGGCAATTTCAGAGATGGCACTAGTCGAGGTGTATGGAGTTTTAAATCACAATCGAGCACTTCTTCTATTATCACAAGACACCACCAGGTGGAGTGTTTTCTGTTTGAGAGGAGAACTCAGCCTAAATATGCAGGGTCCAACTCCAGGTATATTTTTGATGAGGAAACAACATTACAGTATAACATAGATCAGAGCATAGTGTAATATAGGCCCTTTATTGCAAGCATATACAGTTTGGGTAATAATAATAATAATAATAAAGGTGCACTATGTAACTTTTCAGCTATATATATATATACTGTTACTAATATACAGTATATATCTTGCATTTATTTTATTACATTAAAGAATTTAATATAAATTAACATATAACAGTGAGAACTTATTTTTATGTGCACCACTTGAAAGCTTACCAAAATGTTTGTTTACTATGTACTATGTATTTACGTAAGTACTCATTTATTTTTGTCTGCAATTGATTCCATGACTTGGTAGAATGGCAATGAGTTTTATTTGCCATCCCTTCCCTACTAATAGTCTTGTTTCTGTGATTGTCCAACAAATTACCATTGTTTGCACATTCTTGTCCTCCTTTAAACATGTGATTAATGACTTTCTGTTTTGTCACTAGATTTCTGCCTTGGATGAGGATATAGGCCGTAACAGTGAATTGACTTACTTTATACAAGCAGGTAACACAGACCTGTTTTCCATTGGCCCCAGTGGGGTGCTTCTGATTTCAAACAGCTTAGACAGAGAGAAAGAGTCCTTCTACAGTATAATCATCACTGCTGTAGATTCAGGTAAATACTACAACTAAATATACTTGAGCTGTTTGTGTTTTTTTTTTTTTTTTTTTCTTCTCACATAATTTAACACTAATTTAACTTCTCATTTGAAGGTACCTCACCTCTGACTGGCACTCTGACTATACATGTGTTAGTGAATGATGTAAATGATAATGCTCCAGAGTTTACTATAGAGTCCTACCACACTATTGTGTCCGAGGACACTGCAAAAGGAACTGTGTTTGCCATAATCACAGCCTCAGACAAAGATGATGGCGAGAATGGTAAGATAAGGTAAAGAAATCTACTGTATGTTATATGTATTAATGCTATTTCATGGTTCACACTGTTGTGAGCTATGTTTGATTTGTCAATTAAATGTCATGCTCATTTAAAACTAATGTGGCTTTTTTTTGTGGAGGATCCACCACCTGCTTATATCCATGGAGATCTTGCTGCTTTCCCTGAAATGTTTCATAGTATAACATGAAACCTATCTGTCGCTATGGTGATAAGCAGGTGACACTGGCAGGTCAAGTTACAGGTCAGATCTGTGGAGAGGTAACCACTCAAAGCAAAAATATCTATGGAAACAAGGAGGTGGTAGACTCCCACTGCAAAAGTGTATAGTATTTAATCAATAGGGGTCATTGCAAAGGAATACCCTAAAACATATTTTGCAATAAAATAATACATTTGTCAACAAATAAGCTATGGCTATGAGCTT